GAGGAGAAACCAGATGGTGGTGATTACAGGGCGCCGACAAGTTTCCCTCTCTGGTCTGGAAACCTGGGGAACCGTGCGTCAGGAGATGGGGGGGTCCCTCCGAGGGACTCGGGGCGAGAGCCCAACCGCCTGCTTCTCGCCCCCGAGAAGGGGGCGCCTCCCGCTCCGCCCCCTCGCCCCCCGCCTTTCCGGGGCACACGTGAGCTGCGACCCTCCCGCCCGGCTTTGTGCGGAGAGCAGGGCTGGAAAAAGCCTCGGTTGGCCGCCCGAGTGGCTGATTGCGGTGGGGGTGGGGTCTGCTTTCTCTCCGGTTCTCGCTCCCCACCCCCTTCGCAGCCTGCGGAAGGGTACCCTAGAGTGACAAAGTTTGCAAATAAGGGGAGCTGTCCCAAGGCAGTGATCACACCCACACGTCCGTACCTTGAGGGCTCGGCCGCGCTCCCCGGGACGCTCCCGAAAGCTCTGCTTCCCAGCAAACCTCTCCCAGCTGAGCGGTGCTGGCGGAGCTCGGGGTTCGGGCGGACTACACGGCGAAGAAGGGGGCACTGACACACGCCAAGGAGTCTTCCCTAGCAATCCAAGTTGTCAGTCCCTTTGGACGTTTCCAAGGGCTGATCCTTGGAAAACACATCAACAAACAACACCGTCCACGGACGGATCCCAGCAGCCTTGGGGAGGACTGAGGCAGGGGTGGGGGCTGGAGGGCGAGCAGGGGGCAGACAAGGCGAGGGGCAAGTGCTAGGCAAGCGGATTATGTCCTATTTCCTCCTATTATCAGACTTCCACGAGGAGAGACCACGATTTGTGCATGAAATGTATACCCCGAAGTGGGTAAGACTCTGAAGGCAGCATCTGAGGAAGTTAACCTTGGCTGGTTGGAGTTAAGGGGGGGTAGGGGTGAGGCAAATATTTCTGTTTGTGCCCTCCGGCTCTTCCCAGCACCGGCTGTCAATCCCGACGCTTGTTATCCTCACAAGGCTTCAGTTTGTTTGCCTGATCTCAGCAAGGTTTTCTTCCACAAGTAGAACTATAATTGCTATAATTCTACTGTATCATTTGGATCATTGCAGTATTGTTGTTTTCTCTCCCTCTTTCTCTCCTCCTAACACTGCAATAACGCGCTCCAGTGTTAAATTAGCAGGTTGCGGAAGACCATAAATGAATGAAAGTTTGTTAAAAAAAAAAAAGAAAATAAATAAATAAAACAGCAAAATTACTTGGCAAAGGGGATATCACATCACAGAGAATCCTTGAGTGTAATCAGGACTTATTGTCTTCCCTTCCAATGGCTTCCAAATTGGTAGCCAGACCCCAGTGAAGTTTATTTCTATTGTTTAAATACATGTTTTGAAGAGGTTGAGCATAATTTAAGGAGACCTGAGTGTCCGGTGAGGCTGGAAGCCCATCACTGCCTTATTTATCTATGTGTATACTGCACAGCAAATTAAAACATCTCAAATGCAAAGTGTGCAAGGTTAACTCTCCTCCAAACATTTTCACCCCTGGAAAATGACATTTACTGCCACCCCCTTATCCTGAATTTCTTGCAAATATAATTTTGAAACTGCAGTGTAGAATTAGTTCTCAGCACGGAAAGGAAAGGGGGTTTCTTCCATCCGCCTCTTCTAGGTAATTATTATTTCCAGTCCTGGGAACAAGCCTCGTCTTTCACTATAAACAACAGTTTTAAACACTTCTGACCCTCACTTCCAGGCATAACTGTCATTTTTTATCTCAGTGATTGATTTGTAAAGGCAGATGAACCTGCAAACTATTGTTTTCTAGACAGCCCAGGAAAAATAAAGCAGCAACAACAACAGTTACAGACCCCAAAGACTAGAGGAGTCAGGAGTTGTGAATAACCAAGTACAAATGTGAAAAATATTACCACTAAAATGAAATTCCTCTGATTCGTGGGTATAAGAAAGTGAGATGAAAACACGGTGAAGTGTCATTTTGCTGAGAGCAAATATGAAATTGGCTAACCTAAAAGTTTTTATACATACCCTATAGCCCAATTCTTACAAGTCTGGCTACTCAACAAATCAATTAAATTCTTCCTAGACATTAGAAGTATCTTTTTTGTTTGTTTATTTTCTAAAATAACAAATAGGAAGGGCACCTGGCTGGCTCGGTCCGCAGGGAACGCGACTCCTGATCATCCGGTAGTGAGTTCAAGCCCCATGTTGGGTGTAAAGCTTACCTTAAAAAAATAAAATTAACAGATAGGATAACACATATATCCTAAACCCATTTTCTGGTTACACACCATGGAGACGCCAGCAGGTTCTGTCTCCCGGTGGGTGTGCTGGAAAAGTTCTCTGTTGTTTTTTTAATTTAATCTTTCGGGAATAGGAAGAGTCAATTGTAGATTTTGAAGTTGGTATTGAATTGTGACAAAGATCATCTCAGGGCTGTCGGGGCCTTTCTCTCCAAAGTGAATGGACGTGCCTTCCCAGGAGCGTCCTCACTGGGGGAAGACTGGTTAGAAATACCAAAAATAAACAAAATAACAAAGCTTGTGTTTTCACACAGGTTTCCCAAAGAAACACATTATATTCCATTAATAGAATTAGATTTAATTCCAGGGGTCATTAAGTCAGAATCAGAAATTCTGTGTTAACCTCCTCTTTTACAGTGGATGATTAAAATTAGAATACACCCCAGCAGAAAGTCCGACTTCTCTTTTAAAAAAAGGAGAACAGCTGCAGAAGGGGGAGGAGGGAGACGGAAGCAAAGAAATCTTCCACCGAAAGAGTTGAAACCCTGTTAGGCTCTCAGAAATGATTTGTGCGTTTGTGTCGCTTTTTGTTTAACACGATCTATTTGGGACTCAGTTTTCAGCCCACTCCCTGCGTGTGCGGAGCCGACTCTGAAGTCACGGAGCCACCCAGCAGCCGGGTCTTGCGGATTTCCGACGCAGGGCCCTCCGGGGAGGGAAAAGTGCCTCCGTTTCTCCCAGCGACCAGCCGCGGGGACACCCGAGAGGGTCCGAGGCGAGGCTGGAGCCTTGGAGGAGACGGACGCGTCCTTACAGCTGCGTGGAGCCCCGCTTGCCGGGAGTGGGCTCTCGGGGCTGGGGAGGAAATCAGCGCGCAGAGTGGCAGCTGAACGCCGAATGGGACAGTGTAAAAACTGGAACTGTTGGTGGGGATGGAAAAGGGAAGAATGCAAGAAAGGCAGGAGAAGATCCCAGGTGCCTTGGATCAGCAGGCAGGGCTTAAGAGGAAATCAAATGTCAGGGGTGGCTCAGGGACTCCTCCGTCCCCCAGCCCCGTCATCTGAGTGTAGGAAAAACTGGTGAGACTCAAACTAAAAAAACAGAAAGAGGGACACAGAGAGACATCTTTTTTCCTCTTGCCTGTAATAGTAGTAGTAATAGCAGCATGAGTATTAGCATTATTAATGTACCTATTCCCAACCCTTCATTCCCCCTCAAGTTGTGTCTCGAATTCTCCTGCCAAGCCAGCCCGATCGTTTGGCCACCCACCCACCAGCGTCCAAGAGTTATGCAGATGTTTATGGCTGGAAAAAAAAATCCCAGTTATGCATCCTTGTATTTTTAAATACTGACTGTAAGTGATTCAAGTATAATCCTTTGTAAAACGCTTTTCTCTTTGACACATTGAAGGGGTTGAGACCGGAAAACCCGGCGTGGATTCCCCCTCCCCGACCCCTCTCCCACCCACCACCGTCGCCCCCACCTTGCCATTGTCGGGGCCCCTGGCCGGCCCTGGAGCCCTGCACCCAGGCCAGGGGGACGTCCGTGCTAAGCCCCTCGCCCAGGTTTGGCCCAATGTCAGTCCCAGCTGGTCTCGATTCCTCAGCGCTGGACGCGCAGGAAGTAAGAACCGCGTTCAACCACAGGCTCATTCTCGTCCCTTTGCTGTGGGAGCCAGGCCCGAAGAAGTCAGAATCGTAGGCGCTCACGCACGGTAGAAGCCGAACCTGGGTCCTTCCCACCCTGGAGCCCTCGGGGCCCCCACAGGTCCGCTCCCTGCACCGAGACCTGCGAGGGTCCAGCCTCGGGGTGACCGCCTAATGGAGGCGAACTTGCGGGAAGAAGAGGGAAGCGAGCCTGGGAAGAAGGGGAGCCTCCCAGACTCCGCAGTTGACGCTCGCCTGTCCCGTCCTGCCCGGTAGGTGCTCTAGTGAAGGCCGCGCGCCTCTGGCACAGCTTTGTCCCTAAGGGGACTTTTTCCAGAGTTAAAGACTGAGATGAGAGAGGTTGGGGGACGCCGCCAACCCGAGAACAATCTCTCGGCTCAGGGTGGAGGCGAACAGCTCAGGGCGTTGGGCCACAGGAGGAAAGCGAACGCCCAGACAGCAACTGTTGGCTCGCGGCCGTCACCCTGACCCCGGGAGGCCGTCGGGCCTAGAGCGGACGGCGACCTGGCGCCCTGAGATCAAGGGCTGTCCCAGGAGCGCAACCCTGGCTTTGCAAAGTACCAAGTCGGTCTGAACGCGAGCCTCAAGGCCTCGCCTCCAGGAAGCAAGGTCCTCCGGTTGGTGGAAGGGGCGCACGTCGTCGCCCAAGTGGCACCCACAGGCCTGAGATCAGAAGAAGCTAGAGCTACGGGCCAGCCCTGATGGGCTAAAGGGGAGTCTACAGGAAGAAGATGGAGAACTTAGAGAATTGTTAGTTAAAAACATAAAAAAGAGAGGGAAAAAAACGGTTCGGGGCGAGTGCCCGCCGTCTCCTAAAGCTCTGCCACCGCCCCCCCACCCCTCGCCGGCCTTTCCGCACTCCAGTCCAGGCTTTGCGCGGAGCCCGCAGCCCGGCGCAGCCCGGCCTCTGGCGAGAGCCAATCACAGGGCGCCTCTCAGCACGTGGAGGAGAGAGACTCCAGAGCTCCGCGCCCGCCGCTCACTACACTTGTTACAGCTTGTCCTGAGCGCGGAGAGGGCGAGCTCGGGCCGCGTGCAGGGCGGGAGCCGGCAGCCAGCAACCGAGGGAGGCAGAGAGGCACAGAGATCGCAGTAATATCCATTATAACCAGCCATCTAACCCCACTCCCCAACACACCCCCATCCATCCCACCCTCCAGGAGAGGCAGCCAGCGGCCCGGCTCTCTGCGTCCAGGGAAAAAGCCCCAGCCATGAGCAATCAGTACCAGGAGGAGGGCTGCTCCGAGAGGCCCGAGTGCAAAAGTAAATCTCCAACTTTGCTCTCCTCCTACTGCATCGACAGCATCCTGGGCCGAAGGAGCCCTTGCAAAATGCGGCTGCTGGGAGCCGCGCAGAGCTTGCCCGCCCCACTGGCCAGCCGCGCCGACCAGGAAAAGGCCGTGCAAGGTAAGGCTGCGCCCGGCAGGCACCTGCAAAGAGCGCTGGGCACCGGTTTGGATGTTGGATGTTCAGGGGCCAGGGGCCTGGGGTTATCAAGCTGGAGATGGAGGAAAGAGAGAGAACAACTCCGAGGCCTGGTGCCTCAAAGAGCGGCACACGTCTCGCCAGGGTCTGTCTCTCCCTTCCCCTCAGCTTCCTGAAGCACAGGCCGTGCTTCGCTTGGGGGCGGGGGGAGGGGGGCTTAGATTCTCGGTATTGGTCTTTAGGTCGTTTAAATGCTCCGTGTGGTGGCCTCAGGGGGTGCTCTGAAGAGGGGCGACAGGTCAGAAACAGCAGGTGCCGGGTGGACCTTGTAACAACTTGAAGACAAGAACCCCTAAAGCTGTGAATAGGGGTCTCCAGGCAGAGTGAGCCTCGGTCTTTCCTCTTTGGAAGATTTCTTTAAACGCGGTGTTCCCCCACCCCCCCTCCGCCCTTTCTTTCTTTTTTTAATTGTAGATTACTTGTGACCTTTTAAACCCAAGCTTTGCAGAAAACATCTCCCAGGGATTACCCAAATGCTCCTTATTGTATTTGAAATGTATTTAATGTTCGGCTTCTGGGTGCTATTTTTTTTCTCTGCTGTGTTATTTTTAAAACTAGAGTTGAAATATTTCTAAGGTTTTGGGGGCTTTTTCCCCCTAAAATTAAAAATTCCAAAACAACCCGTCATTTTGCCCCGAACCTGTTACACTCAAGTTTCGCCTTGAGCTGCCCGCAGAAGTATCACAGGGAAAAAGAATGGTTGGTTTCTTTTAAAATCCAAAAACCAGCGGTCCAGCCGCAGGGCCACTTGGAGGACAGGAGCAGATGGCGAGAAGGGGCCGTTTAAAATAAAACTGACTTTTTCCTTTTCTTTTTTTAGCCTGCAGTGGCACCTGTGCCAGGCGCTTCCTCGAAGGGAAAGAGCGACCTGTGCCTGTTGTACCCCCTTATAACCCCCTCCCAGGCCTTCCGGGCCCATTTTCTGCAGGACGATTTTTCTTTGCCTTTCTGTGCAGGGAGCCCCCGGCCCCCTCCCGCTGCGGGCTGTCGGGCTGGCCCGCGCTCAGGGCCACCGGGCCACCTTCTCAGCCCCCTCAGGGGTCGCCCACGGGCAGTGCCCCTGTCGCCAGCCTGGGCCTGCGTGGCAGAGCAGCAGCCAGAGGTCGTGCGCCAAGTTTTCAGGGTGGTGGTGGTGTTTTTTTTTTTTTTTTTTAGTTGTTGAATGTTTTCAGATTCTCCCCTGCCCTGAAATGGGGAAGGGAAAAAAGTGTGAGAGAGAAGAGAGAGAGAGCAAAGGGAAAGAAAAAGAAAGGAAGAAAGGAGGAGGGGAGCGAGTGGGCAAAGCTCACGAAAAGGAAAAGGAAGGAAGGGGGAGAGGAGAAAGATGAGGAAAGGAAGGGAGAGACGCGTAGAGAAGGAAGGTAAAAATGAAAGGAAGGGAGGGAGAGGGGAAGGAGAGACGAGAGGGACGGAGGGAGGACACAAGAAAAAAGGAGAAGGAAAAAGAAAGGGAAAGACGTGAAGAAAAAGAAAAAGCCAGAAAAGTGGGGAAGGAGGGGAAGGGGGTCCGAGTCCGGGAGCGCGCGGGAGGAGGGGGCCGGGGCCTGGGGCCGAGAGCGCGGCGCAGGGGCGGCCTCGGGCGGCGGCCCGGCGGGAACGCCCGGCTGGCCGGCGCGCTGACCGCTCTCCCTTGCCCGCAGGCTCCCCCAAGGGCAGCAGCGCCCCGTTCGAGGCTGAGCTGCACCTGCCGCCCAAGCTGCGGCGCCTGTACGGCCCGGGCGGGGGCCGCCTCCTGCAGGGCGCTGCTGCGGCGGCGGCGGCCGCGGCCGCGGCGGCGGCGGCAGCGGCCACGGCCACGGCGGGTCCGCGCGGGGAGGCCCCGCCGCCGCCGCCGCCAACCGCGCGGCCCGGGGAGCGGCCGGACGGCGCGGGGGCCGCTGTGGCCGCCGCGGCGGCGGCCGCCGCGGCCTGGGACACGCTCAAGATCAGCCAGGCACCGCAGGTGAGCATCAGCCGCAGCAAGTCGTACCGCGAGAACGGGGCGCCCTTCGTGCCGCCACCGCCCGCGCTGGACGAGCTGGGTGGCCCGGGGGGCGCCGCGCACCCGGACGAGCGCCTCGGCGCGGCCAGCGGCCCCGGCGGCGCCCCGGCGGCGGGTGGCGGTACGGGCGCCGAGGACGACGAGGAGGAGCTGCTGGAGGATGAAGAGGACGAAGACGAAGAAGAGGAGCTGTTAGAGGACGACGAGGAGGAGCTGCTGGAGGACGACGCCCGCGCGCTGCTCAAGGAGCCCCGGCGCTGCGCCGTGGCCGCCACTGGCGCGGTGGCCGCCGCCGCCGCCGCCGCCGCCGCTGCCGCCGCCGTGGCCACAGAGGGCGGGGAGCTATCGCCCAAGGAGGAGCTGCTGCTGCACCCGGAGGACGCCGAGGGCAAGGACGGCGAGGACAGCGTGTGCCTGTCTGCGGGCAGCGACTCGGAGGAGGGGCTGCTGAAGCGCAAGCAGCGGCGCTACCGCACCACGTTCACCAGCTACCAGCTGGAGGAACTGGAGCGGGCCTTCCAGAAGACGCACTACCCAGACGTCTTCACCAGGTACGAGAGCGGGGCGGCCGTGGCGGCGGCCGGCGGAGAGCGCGAGCGGGCCCGGAGGGGAAGGCGGGCGGGCCGGGGCTCCGGGTTGGGGCCGGGACTTGGCTCCCGGACTCCACTCAGGTGTGCCCTCCCGTCGCACCCACCCCTGCTCACTAAAACTACCCGCCCCCAGCCCCACCCCTCCTCCGGGTTTTAAGTTTGGACTGGGATCTCTTGCCTTCCCCAAGTCTCTCCAGTTTATTTATTTATTTTTCAAATGACAAGTTTTAGTTAGGAATGGCCTCTCCAGAGAGGGGCCGAGAGCGCCAGCTTGCAGGCGCGCGCACCCAGAGCACGCACGCCGGCCCCCAGGCGCTGCGGTGGCCGCCGGGTCCCCGGGAGGCGCGGGGAGCGCCGCTGGCCCTCGCGGCCGAGGCCGAGCCGCGGGCTATTTTTGGCCGCTGTGTGGTGCGCGCCCGCCACCCCCGCCCGCTGCCCAGGAGCCCGGTGGGTATCGGTTACGCTGTCGCCGTTCAGGGAAGCTGGAGCCCGCGCCCGCGGGAAAGGCCTTTCAAAAGATTCAAGTTCTGTCGTTTGAGGACTTCTGAAATAACGGAGGGGAGTCGGAACTGGGCAGGGTTTGGTGCCTGCACGTCTGCGGGGCAGCAGCCGGAATCTTCGCCTCTCCCCACTGTCCTGCCCCCCGCCCCAAGCCCGGCGTTCCGTTAATGTGCGCGGGCTTGCAGCGCCGGGCCGTGATTGCCGGCAGCCTGGCCGACAGTGGACCGCGCAGCTGGGGGATGTTTCTCTTTGGACTGCCGTCCAGCCGGGGTTTCCGCCTGGTCACGCTCCAGTTCCCTCTTGCCTGAGTGTTTTGGGGAAAGAGGTGAGATGACCGGACCCTTGGATGACTCGTTCATCCAACATGGGGCGCTGGCCGGCCTGGGGGCCTGGGGGCCTTCCCCTCCCACCCCCAGGCCACCGTCTGGGCTCCCGCGAGGAGCCAGGCTCAGGGCAAACTTCCTTCAGTGGGTAGGAAGGAAGGGAAGGGGGTCTGCCTGGCGCAGAGCTCCTGGGGCGCGGGCAGCTCCTTCGCTCAAGACGTGTGCAGCTTTTCAATATGCATTTTAGACGTGGAAAGCTGCCCGCCCCTTTGAACCGGAGGAGAAATCGCTGCTCAGACCTCAGGAGGCCCGAGCCAACTCTAAAGTGGTGTTGATCTGGCAAGTAATTGCCAAACTCTCTCCTAATCAGTAATGGAAAAGTGTGGATCTGATGCTGGCAGACGCTAAACTTGATCGTCCCTCGAGCTAAAGTTGGTCCTCCTCTGGATCATCCCGTCCCTTCATCTTTAAAAAAGAGCATAAATTTCCAAATCAGTGTGTGCTATCAAATAGCTAACTGGCCGATCTGCCTTTTGCATTTGTGACACATGTGTATTTCAACAGGAGAAAATGAGGAGGTGTCAGTTGGCATCCAGGTCTGCCCTCCTTTGGCTTCTCGGGGGAGAACCACAGTATGTGGAGGGGGGCAGCTCCTCTTCGGGCTTATTTAGAGCCCCTTGGCTCAGGCGGGAAGCCAGCCTAAAGTACCGGTTCAGATTTGCTGGTGCTCCCTGCAGCAGGGGGCAACGGAAAGCACTTAGGGAACCGTTTTTTCTCCTGGTCCTGAAGTTTCCGGTGTGGATGAGGGGGCCTGCCAACAGTGCAGCCCTGGGTCCCAGGCTGGAGCAGCCCCCAATCTTTCATATTAGCGGGGGTAGAGCCGATTATTCTCTGGAGCTCAGATTTTTGGTAAACAGGTCGTAAGCCATTTTACAGCATCTTAATGGTTTCCTATTTGCCTTAATTGTCGCAGTAATAACTGCAATGACGGGGTAGGGTTTCATTCAATTGACTCCCCCTGAGATGGGCAGGGTTTGTAGTGGGCACTGGAGTCAGGAGGTGCGCAGAATTTTGTTTAATCAAAAAATTACCCCACTGAACTCTTAACAAGCTTAACGTATCTCCAGAGGGTAATGGGGAGTATGACCTAAGGGGAAGAGGGAGGGAGGCGGGGAGGGGGGTGGGGGGTGGTAGGGACATGGAAGGAAAGGCGAAGAGCTGGAGATGGAGAGAGAAAAGCGGGAGGGGGGAGGAGGAGGGAGACTGGAAAAAATTTTAAAGGCAGAAAGACACCGAGGGCCGGAAAACAAATTTTGCATGAGTACCTGTCCCAGGTACCATTAGGACAGAACAGGCTGTGAGCATTGTGTGCGTGTTTCTTGTCTAACTCTGGCTTCAGGGAGAATGAGGGCGAATCCGAGGGCCCAGTTAGGCTTATAGACTCAAGAAGCCACCCTTGTCACTTTTGAATATAGGATGCTACAGTGTAATATCCCATCTCCAGCAACGTGTCGTAGGTTTTTGTTTTCAACTAAATAGTAGGCACTTTGGTGGGGAAGGGATCATGAGATGCCCATATGTTTGGGGGTGAGGGCAGGCAGCCAGGGAAGACCCTGACAGAGGAGGCCTGCTAGCAAGGGGAAAGTGGCTTGAGAAGGGCTTGTTGGAGCCTGATGTGACCTCCTGTCTGTGTCGCTTTCTTCTAGGGAGGAATTGGCCATGAGGCTGGATTTGACTGAGGCCCGAGTCCAGGTGAGCTGCCCACAGAGAGGGAGGAGGGAGAGGGAGAGGGAGGGGTAGGGGGAAGGGTTGGAGAGAGAGGGGGCCAATGGATTGGGGTGGGATGAGGCCCCCTTTATAAAACGAAGAGAAACAGAATCAGAAAAACAGACTCAAACCCTTATGCACAAAAAAGATGAAAATGTGAAGACCTGGGAGGTTGGAAGGGGAAGATCTCTGGGTTTGGGAGCCCTGAGGAAGGGGTCCGGGACCAGAAGAGGGGTCTCAGAGTCCCTGCGCTGCTGTCAGGAGCTACCCCCCACCGCACCCCCCCTCCCCTGTTCCACAGCCCCTGGAGGAAACAATCGGAGGACTGACTTCTCCTGATTGAAATAATGGGATGGAGCATGGATTTGGTTGTTAGACAAATCCGCTCAGCTCCAAGCAGGTATTTGGCTGCGATTAAGTCTCCAATCGGGCTTCATAAAAGCCCACTTAGTGCTAGAACAAACAGGGCCATTTGAAGGCAAAATGCTGTTTGATTTCCCCTCCGCCCGCACAAGGAGCTGGCTAATGCTATTTGATTTCCCATTTTTTATAGCAATGAGCGCACATTGATCTAATAGGGAGCGAGTGCAATGCTATTAAAGGTGTCTGCAGCCCCATACCAGAGTGCATTTCCCAACCCGGGCCTCATAACCAAAGAGACGATCAACACTGGGCAGCCCCGATGGCCAACAGAAAACAGATGTCCCTGGGTTAGGAGCTGAGTGAATCACTTTACAGTCAAAATCAAGCGCTGATAAAGCACAATAAATTCCATATGGCTCATTTAATACACAACAGCTTCTTGCATTAGAGGGCTAATGATGAGGCCTGTCCCCTCCTTTCTGTTGACACATTTCTCCATTGTCAAACAGAGATGTGACAGCAACTCCGTATTTTCAGCTCAGGGGAACGAGTCGTGGGAAAGTTAAATAACTTTTAAAAAGAAAGAGAGCGCCCCCTCCCCTTCTCCTCTCTCCCTATTCACCGGAGAAGATGTAATTAAGTGAATATGAATTATTAGAGTCCTTTCGTTTACCTTTGGGGGGCCTCAGAGGTATTAATTCAATAATGAGGAATTGCAGGGGGACATCTTGATGATTGCAGTGGAGCCAGGAGAGACGATCTGTCTGGAAAAGGTTTCCACGTTCTTTGAGGGCATTCTGCATCCACTGCCTCCTCCCCTCCTTTACTCCTTTCACTGGCATCGAGGAGTGGCGGATATTCTCGTCTAGACAGATTTGGATACACAAAAGCTGCCCACCCAGCCTCGTCCCATCGAGTCTTACCTTTTCAAGCCTCTGAATTTCCACACTAGAGTGTTTCTCCCATTCACAGACAGATTACTTGAGGGCTGTGGAATCTTACGGATGGGCCCCTTTTCAGCGGAATTTTAAATAATCGACCGGTGTGGATTCTGGATTTCTCTTGCCCTAGGTGGCTGTCTAGAAGTCAAGCCAAGCTTAGATACCAGTGCTAGTAAGACAACCTACAGTGTGTATATATCAAAGGCATGGATGTCTTGAAATTAAACACACACACACACACACACACACACACAAATTCCTCGGGGATCACTTACATTATATTTTAATATAACTCTGTATAGCCCTGGAGTTCATTCTTAATTTTTAGACTTGTGTGCAGGCATCAACCCAAGCCTAAAAATATTAATGCCTTCAGGGGAGAAGGAGCATATCTTATTAGCTGTGGGTGTGATGAGCAGGTCACATAAAAATAATTTCATGCTCCTGGGAGTTATTTTTAGACCATGGTAGCTGCCACATTTCAGGTAAAGGTCTCTACTAAAACTGCTTTCTATTAACAATTAGGAAGATACCTTGTGCTGGAAACCTCCCGCAAGCCTAGAACTGCCTTATTTAAATAACCTATTTAAACCAAGTCCCGCAAAGAAATAAACGACCTGTTAGCTCACGTCGACAGGTAGCTTGCACCCTGATTTCTGTTTGTCCAGGGATTGCTGCATACCCGGGCCTGGCAGTCGGCGCCTTCCTGGGTGGAACCAGGCCCTGCAGTGAGCCCCTGCAGATAGCAGGCCGCCAGGCCCCAGGTTTCCTTTCCCAGAGGACTTCCCCGCTACAACGTAGACTTGTTTGCTGGGGCATTTCTTCCCTCCCTCCTAGTTTTCCCCAAGCTCCCGAATCCAGCTTAGTGCTCTTGGGTGTTCAAGAACTATTTCTGGAAAGAATAAGTGAACCACCTCCCCGAGACCCCCTTTTCAACACAGCAGGGACTTTGCAGGCTCCCGGGTAAACTTGAGACAGGCGAAAACAGCTGATGCGCAGCAGAGGGCTGACGTGTGGCCATCTCAGGGTGGCTGCCCCCCCCCCCCCCCCCCCGCCAAGAGTCACTGCCCAAGGCGAGCTTGCACATGCTGTATTTTATTCATTCCACATCAACAGCCTTATGAGTAAAGTTTTATTATCACCATTTTACAGATTAGAAAACTGAGGTTGAGAGAGGTTTAAGCGACGTGCCTAAAGATGCATAGTGAGCAGGTGGCAGCGGAGACGGTTAAACCTCAGTTTCCCCAACTCTAAACACCGGGGACCGCTTTCTTCCAACTTGGCAAGGAACTAGGCTATTCCAAATGTGCGCTGGAAAGGCCCTGCTCGCCCCCTGTCTCCTGCCGGCTCTAAGTTTGGGCTCCTTTTCGCCCCCATCTGGCTCCGGGGCGGGGGGCGGCTCTGAGTCAGCCGAGGCCCCGGGGGGCGAGTGGGCGCCGGCCTCCGCCGAGGGGAGGGCGCGGGGGGGGGGGAGGCCCGAGCGCCCGCCGCCCCCGGAACCCCGCCGCCGACCCGGCTCTTTCCGCCTCGCAGGTCTGGTTCCAGAACCGTCGGGCGAAGTGGCGCAAGCGGGAGAAGGCGGGCGCGCAGACCCACCCCCCGGGGCTGCCCTTCCCGGGGCCGCTGTCGGCCACGCATCCGTTGAGCCCCTACCTGGACGCCAGCCCCTTCCCTCCGCACCACCCGGCGCTCGACTCGGCCTGGACGGCCGCCGCCGCCGCCGCCGCCGCCGCCTTCCCGAGCCTCCCTCCGCCTCCGGGCTCGGCCAGCCTGCCGCCCAGCGGGGCGCCGCTGGGCCTGAGCACTTTCCTCGGAGCCGCCGTGTTCCGACACCCGGCCTTCATCAGCCCGGCGTTCGGCAGGTAACGCGCGGCCTCGGGGAGTCTGTCTGTCTGTCTCTCGTACGCACACAGGCTGGGGGCAGGGAGGAGGCCGGAGGCAGGAGACCGGCAGCGGCTACGCACGTCTTCGCTCTTTGGCCAACCCTCAGATTTAGCCAAAGAAAATACTCTCTAATTTTTTTTTGCCTCAGACTGTGTGGATCTCGAAGGGAATGAGTTGGGGCCGAGGAGCAGAGGGGAGGGCGGTGGCAGTGCCAACACCCGTGACGACTGGGAGTGCTCAGGGAAAGCTGTAAAAGTACCATCGAAGGCACCAGCCGCCGCCGGGGCCATAGGTGGTCTGTGTGTAAACGCGTGCAGGTGTAGCCTGCAGAGCTGGGATGACTGTCAGCCTTTTTTTTTTTTTTTTTTTTTTTTTTTTTTGCAAAAATCCTTCCCCATGCTCCAAAGCCTGGCAGAGGAACACAGCTCTGGTTTCCACACGAGCCCGGGAGCCACGGGCCCTCTGGGTGCAAAGAATTCTTTCTTCTTCCCCAGACTCTAACTTCCCTGTCACTCAAGTGACCCGCTGCCAACCGTACCCCCATATGTGCAACCCCCCGACCCTCAGCGCGGCACAAGACAACGAAATAAAAGAAACAGTTCATCGTATATTATAATTCCCTTTCTTTAAGTGAACATCGAATGATGAAATAAAAAGTCTGTATTATCACCCAGACAAAGAAACAAAGGAGGGATGTATTAAGTTGGAAAGTGCAGTGAAAATAAAACTGAATGCAGCTTCAATGATCTCTCTTTGGGAGAACAAAGAAATAATAGATTCATCCAACTGCGCAGCCACTTACCAAAAATCATCTTTAGAGAAAAGTTTCAAAAAAAGACGCTAAGTAAAAGTAGTTTCATGTAACAAACCAATAAAATAAACAGCGAGAGGGCATTGAAGTGTAGTTAGTGACTCAGTTTACCTATGGAACCAGGGCATCTTACACCCTCTCCAGGCCACACTGTATTGTTTTTTCTGGGAGAACAACTTTAAGTCGTGTGTCCCCCGAAACCCACCCCCGCCCCCCGCCAGCCCCCTTTTCCTTCCGACAAGTGACTTGTAAAAGCTGGCGAAGCCCGGCTGGAGTGCCCGACTGGGAGATTTGGGGAGGCTGCAAGAGCAGTGCGGTGGGGGGCCTGAGGGCGTGGGGGGTGGCTGGGGGCGAGCCTCCCGCTCCCCCCCTCGAAGCCAGGTGGGCTCATTTCTAATCCTGGAAACTCCGAGTTGGCCCTGTGGGAGTTTGGAGCCAGAGCCCTGGGGGGGGGAAGGAGGGGGGGGCTTGGGGGGTTTGGAGGGGCTCTGGCCTCAGCCGCAGGTCCGCAGTGCGGTGCGAAGGCGGTGGAGGCGCCGTGAGAAGCAATCCCGGCGCCGCCCGGAGTTGGTGGCACGGACCGGGGTCCCAGGCTTGGGGGGCTAGGCTTGGGTGTCGCCGTGCACCGCGCGCGAGGTCGCGGGGTTCGGGGGCTCTCTGGGGCAAGGGGCGGCGGGACGGCGATGGGAGGGAGTGTCGCCGCGCCCCACGCGGGCCGGCCCGTGGAGCGGAAGTCAGCAGGCGGCGCCCCCGCCCCCACCTCGCGGCCCCGGGCTGGCGCGGGAGGGCGGCCCTGTGGGCGGAGGCGCCCCGGGAGAGCGCGAAGTCAGCAGCGTGGGTCTCGGTGGGGCTTGATCCCAGCCCCCCCCCCCGTGTCCTCTTCTCCTTTTTCGCTCTGCCTCCCCCTCCTGGCCCTTGGAGCTCCGGCCCGAGAATTCACCCCCTTCTTAGGCGAAGCCACACGATCCAGGCGCCCGCGCCTTTGGCTTTGGGGCCCCAGGACCCGCCTGCGCCCCGGCTCCGGGCCCTCGGGGTGCCTGGCCCCTTGGCCTTGCCCGCGTGGCCCCCCGCTCCAGGAAAGGCCCCCGGGCGCCGCAGCCCCCCGCGCACGCCCCCGCCGCCCCCGCGGCCTTGCCTCCCGCCGCGCCTCGCGCACGCTCGCGGCCCTCGGCTCGGCTGCCGAGAGGCGGCGGCCACCGCTCCGCTCCCGAGGCCGTGACCGCGCTGTTTGCTCTCCCCGCAGGCTCTTTTCCACCATGGCCCCCCTGACCAGCGCGTCGACCGCGGCCGCGCTCCTGAGACAGCCCACGCCGGCCGTGGAGGGCGCGGTGGCGTCGGGCGCGCTGGCCGACCCGGCCACCGCGGCCGCAGACAGACGCGCGTCTAGCATAGCGGCGCTGAGGCTCAAGGCCAAGGAGCACGCCGCGCAGCTCACGCAGCTCAACATCCTGCCGGGCACCAGCACGGGCAAGGAGGTGTGCTAAAGGCTGCCCTCCTCCCTCGCGCCCCGGGCGCACCCCGAAAGGTCACCTCACTCAGCACCACTCAAGACCAAATGGAAACAGAGGACCAGCACACTCCCGAGACGGCACTGAGAGAGCGCGGCCGCCTTCGCAGCTGCCTGGACGCGGGCAAGGCAGCCCCGGCGCTACCGGACGTGGCACCTCCTCGGCCGGCTGTCCCCCGCCCCGCCCCGCCCCGCCCCGCCACTGCCAACCTCGCGCCCTCTCCAGCGTCCACTCGCTCCCGTTCTTACTTTGCTGAAAGCATCGGGGAGGTTTTCTCTCCAAGACGCCTGGTATTGAAGTTAAAAGAGTAAAAAAAAAAAAAAAAAGAAAAACAAACAAACAAAAAAAACAAACCCAACCTCTCTCCCTCCCGGCACCCCACTTAGCTTTTTATTTTGTTTCTTCCTTTAAACAGCATTTTGGCGCTCTAAGTTGATCTCCCCTGCGTGGGCCCCGGTGTGAAGCCAGGGCCAGGGAAGCGAATGAGAATCTGTAAGATAGCTAACAGTGCACTTAACAGAAAGGGGCGTCTTGTTCTTGTTCTCTTCTTTATCATACACCAACCAAGGTTTTTATATCAAACCAAAGGGAAATACTCTGCTAGAATATGGACTGTTGAAGTCACCAAACTGTGATTATTGATTCTGTACATACCATTGTTATTAAAAAAAAAAAGAACAGAGCTTTGTATATTTGAAATGTTATAACGCAATTGCACTCAGCGTGGTATGGTAAAAGTTTGTCCTCCTGTAGATTCTTACTGTGTTGTAGATACGGTAGGGTTCCTAGACAAATATTTATGTACTCAAGCCCTTTATTTAACTTATTAACTGTAGAGGCTTCCGAAACCTTCAAGATAAAGGCAATGGTACAGTACTTTTGTGTAATGTGTAATTGTTATCACTTTTCCTTGCTATCTAGTGGAGAAGTGTCACGCTCAAAATAAAAAAAAAATTATATGTTTAACAAAAGGAAGTGTGAATGCTCTATGCGGGCGCTGAGGGGTCAGCAGAGGGGCCCCCCAGAGGCCAGGGGTGGGCCCCGGCGCCCGGCACCTCCTCGGCTTCTCCTGGCCCAGGCCCCCGGGCTGGACGCGCTCCTTGGGGGGATTCGGGTTTCCCCGCTTAGGTTAAGGACGCGGCCGCGGGGCTTCCCGCCACACCTCAGCCGCGGGGCGGGCCCCGGGGGCCTGCGGGGGGGTGCACCGGCGGCGGGGTTCGTGCTGGAGACAGAAGTTTGAAGCTAGCGGGGGTCTGGGGGTCTGGGCTCGGAGGGTGAGGGAAACTGTTCGTGGCAAGTGCCGAGTCCGAGATGCCGGCGTTGGCGAGAGCCAGAGCCCGCGCCGGCTGCGAGGGGCGGGCTCCCCGGTGTGCCCGCGGGGAGGGGGTGCGCGCGCGTGTGCGTGTGCGAGGGAGAGGAAGGGGGAGAGGGAGAGAGAAGAGGCAGACACCGTGATGGAAAGGCGGTGAGGGGTATCCAAGTGGCAGATCTTAACTCGACAAATGTCATTACATCACTTATCCAGGCATTGGCAAATGTATACATTTGAAAAAATCTAAACAACTTCGGTTTCTTGAGGAGACCCGAGCGGATTCGCGACGTGTAACCCCGTCGGCGCACCCCCCCCCCGCGCCGGGAACCGTAGCTTCTCCCTCCCCGCGGCCCCCGGGCGCCCCTCCCGGTGACCGCGGGGTGCGCCCGCCCGCGGGGGCCGGGTCTCGCCGACGCTCCCGGGGTGATGGGAAAGGGAAGAGAAGCTTAATTAGTTTCAATTTGTAGTAATTAGCGCGCCGGACCTTTGGGGAGAGGGGCAGGCGGCGGCGGGGGTGGGGGTGCTGCCGCGGCGTGACTCCCGGGCGCGGGTGCCAGCCGCCCCCCCAGGCCGCGGGCCAGTCGGGCGCCGCGGGGGCGGGGGCGAGTCCCGGGCCGTCGGGCTCCGCGCGCTCCGGCCGCGCCCTGCGGGCGGGGGGGGGGTCCCCGGGCGGCGGGGGGCGCCAGTGTGCGCGGCCGACGGACGGGCAGGTGCGGGGGCGGGCCGAGGGCGGCGGCGACTCGGGGACGGGTCAGCCGCCCCGCAGCTGCGGCGCTCGGCCGGGCTCCTCGGCTCGCCCGCCGGGCCCGGAAAGGCCGAGCGCCCGCCTGCTGGGGACGTCGGGGAGCGCGCCCCGGGCCGTCGGGGGGGGGGCCTCGGCGACGCGCCCCGGCTCAGGACTGTCAAGGGCGGGAGCTCGAGACCAGAAGCCCGGCCTGGGGCACGGGACGCAGGCCGCCAGCCACCTTTCCTAGGCCCTGGCGCCCACGTAGACCTCACGAGTTGAACGGGCCCAGCGGGAACTTTCTAGAACGTCCCCCCTGGAGATCTGAGTGCCTGAAACCTCTAGGCTCCACAGGCTGTCCCGGTGTGAAGGCCCTTACCCTGGGATGGCCGGGGTTACTCTGGAGTTTGGAGGTGGGGATGGGGGAGTGCAGGCGAGGATTGAGGGCGTGAGGGAAAGGACTTTTTTTTTTTTTTTTTTTTTTGCTGGTCAATATCAATTTTCCGTCGATTTTGGCTTTTTGTTTAGGTCCGGCTTTTTGTCCTCTCCAGGCTGCCAGTTGGATGGTATACGAGAAACAGTACCATTCTTCCTGTTAATGAACTCTTTTTTAAGTCATTTTTTCTCATTTGACCCTTCCATGGAGCAGAAGCAAATTGCGTGAAATTACCTCCAAGGATTACATTTATTACTGGCCAATGAGAACCCCTCGCCTTGTTTTACAAACTCTTAATCCTATGTCATTCTGATGCCGCAAACAAGCCGGGTCCCGGGCCTCCTATTCTTTCAACTTTCCCCAGCTGGAGGGACCTCATTCTGCACTTAATATTCCCCATAAATATCACACGCTAAAGACCCCCTGACTTCCAGCAAGTCCACATTAAACATGTGACATGTCACGCATGACAAACTCTGAGTATCTTTTCAAAGCAGCATTAAAAGCAAAGAAACCAATTTTCTTCTCCTTCCAAACCTCCCCAAGTGCTGAATGATGGGGATTGGAAAGAGCCACTGGAGCGTACTTAGGGGGATTTTATGAGATTTTCCAGAATGATTTAATCTTATTGTGAGCATTATTAATGAATGGCAACCCAATTTGGCCCCAATATCTGGGAACGCGGTCACAATGCTGGGAGCGGCTGACCCCCCCAACCTTAAGCAAACCTCTTCCACCGTGGAGGAGGGCATGCCGAGCTCAGGGGAGTTCAGGAGAGCCCCTGCGAAGGGGGCATGGCCATCCCCTAGCACGTCCAGGGCGGAATGCCCGCCACCTGCTTTCCCAGGGCCACCCCTACAGAGTCGGGATGAGGGGTGATTGGGAGCCTCTGTGGGAAGGAAGAGGGGAAGCCGAAAGTTAACTTGCTACATTTTCAGACAGGCTGGCCAGATCTGGATGAGGCCCTGGGAGGAAAGGCAAGGAGGGCGGAATATTGGCACAGCAGCATCAAAGGTGCCCCTGCTTTCTTCTGCCACCAACTTCCCATGGCCGGCGCGGCGACCGTCGGGGCGGGCATCGTAGGCTTGTTGGTGGGGAAGGCAGGAGACCCGGCACTACTGGACAAGGTTTGGGACACCTCGGGACTCGAAACTCAGACTTTAGCTAAAGTCACCGGGAGCGGCCCCAGCCAGTTTCTCATTTTTTTCTCCTAGTAGCCCACTCCCCCTCCCTATTTGGGGCAAACATTTATGATTACTGTTTTGGATTTGTAAAACCCAGAGACAAGGCGCCCCTGGCTCTCCTTTTCGGTTCACTGTGAGCGCGGAGATCTTACTGGAAGAGAAGGGGGGGCTGATGTCAGAGGGAAGGAAATTATACACGGGTTCCTGGAACTTGCGTTTGGAGGAAGAAATGTGTACGTGAGCATGTGTGCATGTGTATACACAACAGTGAGTGTGTGGGGATGGCGGGGGTCTTACTTGGGGCCTAAAAGGGTATTTTGGAACTCTGCGTTCCGCGGAGCAACTGCATATTTCACAGCCAGGGGCTGGCTGGCTGGGGGGCAGGGAGTAAAAAACCTGCTACCTGATGGAGGAGGGGGTAAGCATTTTTCAAAGGAGAAAGTTGTGTTGTCTCTGGACGTTATTAAATGGTCCACTTTGAAGTATACATTTTTCCTTTAAAGAAAAGGGAGCGATTACCAGTTATACATTAAGAAATGTCATTCAGTCATTTTTATTCATTCTCCGGAAATCTTCGTAAAAGCCTGAATCATACTTCTACAAGCAGCAATTTTGTTAATCCAGGGGGTTATTACTCTGGGCCCTTATTAGGTTCTACACCACTGCCAAGCAATCCTATAACCCTCTCAAAAGAAGTTTACCTCCCTGTTATAAAACCAGTAGTGGTATTTATACTGTGCAATAATTAGTGTATTACTTGAATCCACTAACACGTTCATTTTATCTCTGCACAAAACCTCTAGTCTGCTTATAGAAAGCTTGTGCCTCCTTTGGTGCTGGTAAAGTGGTGAAAGAGTGAATTGAAGGCTGGTTGCACTTTCTCCTTTTGCCTCGCCTTAATTCCCATCTCTTTTTGCTCTCATCCAATTAGCACAGTGTATTAAGCGGTTTATCATCTCATAGTCAGCTATTGAGAGAAACAAGGCGAGCACTTTGCAATAGAACCTGCGCTCCTTTGACACCCTCAGGTACTTACATATTCCACTGTGCTATGAATAATAGAGGAAGAATGGAGCGCTAATTCCCTCATCAAAGAATGCCTTGTCTGCTGCTTTGCTCAACAACACCATTCTGATCAAAAGAAAAGCAATAAAGCTTAGCATAACAAAACGAAACCTACTTATTAGCTTAGTGGTTAAATTAATGCAGAGCCGCTGCTATTCAAAACCAAGGTTTGAAAACAGCCTCCAACAACCTGATAATGCTGCCTTCGGGATGAAGGAATTTTAATCTGAAATTTGAGGCTGGCTCAGATGAGTTCATCTATTAAACTGCTATAAGGAAGCTCCACGGCAAACCGTTCAATTAAGAAATATTTAGGTGAGGGGCGAGAGAGGGAGAATGAGAGAGAGAGAGGGAGAGGGAGAGGAAGGCAAGGTAGCTTTAAGTTTGGGATGGGAGCACTGAATCGAGGGGCTGGGGCTCGGTGTGTTTTTCTTAAAACCCTGACACAAAACAGGGAAATTTGTTTCTGGAGTGTCCTTATCTTTGCATCTCCTACCAAATTAATTTCAACGACGTGTTTGAAAAGGTGTGTTGATGTTTGCGTGTGTTGGGCGAGGAAGAGGTGGGCTGGGCAAGAGAAGGGGGTGGGGGTGGAGGGCAGTGAATTCGTCCCCTTTCAACATCCTCTCCCGAACCCCCATCTGTGAACTTTTGATTAGCCCCCATGTCTTGGGCAAGAGTCACAAGGTTAACTGTGTTTCCTGGACAAATTAAAATATTGAGCATGATGTGTGTAGCATTTTCAACTTCTGGCCTCCCCCACGCCCCCAGGAAGGAAGGAGAGTTGAGAGGTAGAGAGTGGTGTCCAAGATAAATGTCCACCCTGTGTAGGCAGATCCTACCGCCTACATTCAACAGGAGAGGTGCCCTTTTCAGAGGCCTGGGACTGAAAAGAGCAGGGTTTTTTTTAGGGTATCATTTCCCAACCCAGGTAAAATTTGGCCCAGAGGTTTAGTCTGGCCCAGTGTTCAAAATTTTAAAAGATTTGTTGCCAAGGCTTAGAAATTGAGACACTTTATGGAGTATCTGGATCCCTGGCTTCTCTTGAAAACCGGATCACGTGGCCACCCTAGGCTCCATCCCTTCCAGCATCACTGAGTAACCTCTGCCCTGTTTGGACAGGACGTGCCCACTCTGGTTCAGTGCAGTCCCTGCCACTCTGTAGCGTGAACCCGGCTTGTTCCATCCGTTAGCACTTGAGCTTAAGATTCTGGCCCAGCAGTCTGTGGACATGTGGGTAGGCTCCCCCTCGCAAAGAAGTGGGTGGCATTTCTGCACCGTCCCACCCACTGCCCTATCAACTGACAAAAATCAAGGAGTAGAAGCCTTTCTCGGAGAAAAGTGAGTGCTTCTCCAGAGTTCTAACAGAGAGATCCACTGGAATTCTTTTTTTTCTAAATACTTATATATTTATTTATTCATGAGAGACACAGAAAGAGAAGGGCAGAGATATAGGCAGAGGGAGAAGCAGGCTCCATGCAGGGAGCCCGATGCGGGACTCGATCCCAGGACCCCGGGGTCATGCCCCGAGCCAAAGGCAGCTGCTCAACTGCTGAGCCACCCAGGCGTCCCTAGAATTTTTAATCGAAGTTCCAGTTCCAGCTCTCTGTAAAATTCTCTATATGTCCCTCCCAGAAAAGCATGTTCACTAACCTGGAGTTATAGATCTGAATGAGACAGCACCTCTGGCTGCATTAGCTATTTTGGGGGCCGTGCCATGCTATGTCTAACTTTCTACAGACCTGCTTCCGAAATAGGTCCTGCCCTCACAGTGCTTGCCAGCTAGATGCAGAGACAAGAGACAGAACAGTAAGAAGTTATCTGAGTGTCCTGGAGTTTCTTGATGACCAAGTTCAGGATAACTCTCTATTTGTCTTTACCATAACCCCAGGTTCCAGAAACCAAGGAAAACACGTCTTCTCTTCAGAAAGCAACATGGGAGCATGGGCTCGCTCCAGAAGCACACATTGAAGAACCATCTCTAGAACCTTCTATGAGAAAAACAGTGAAAACCACACTACTCTCTTAGTTTCCCAAAGCAAGATGGCTGCTCCCACTTGTGACAGGTCGGGGAGCCTGGGGTACCAAGGCATTCATTAATTAACTGACAGGGGCCTGCACCCAAAGTGTCTCTGCTTAGAACCTGAATATAAGAGACAGGGGAGAAAGTGAGGGAGAAGTAAGAGAAAGCAAAGCAAGATAGAAGACAGTGTCATCTCCACTGCTTTAACAAGGGGACTCCACTAGTGTCCATGCTGGGTGACCATCCTCCTGTGGGGGGCCTTTCTCCCAGGAGCCATTGGTCTTGCTATTCAAACATAAGACACCACCACTGGGCTCTTGGTTTAGCTCTATGGTCATCTAAGTCAGTGAAGCACATGAGAAACCTTACTTCATCTCTTTTTTAATTTTTTTAAATTTTTATTTATTTATGATAGTCACACACACAGAGAGAGAGGGGCAGAGACACAGGCAGAGGGAGAAGCAGGCTCCGTGCACCGGGAGCCCGACGTGGGATTCGATCCCGGGTCTCCAGGATCGCGCCCTGGGCCAAAGGCAGGCGCTAAACCGCTGCGCCACCCAGGGATCCATTTACTTCATCTCTTAAAGTACCCAAAGGCCACAGGAATTCTCCCAAATGTGGCTCAGAACATTTGGACATACATCACTCGGGCATCTCCGAGCTTAACTGGAGCTGGCTGAGGTCTGGGAAGGGGATGGTCTCTGGGCAAACCCTACTCCTGGCTGCCACCCCTAGCCAACATTGTGTACCTGATAAAGATTCACTGCAACTACTTTCCTTTCAGAAAACTTTATTTAAGTAGAGAAAAAACAGTACAACATATTTTTCTTTTAGAAAAACAGGTAGACATTTGAGAAAAAATACAGTGTACAGGGGAAATAGATTTTGTTAGTAATAACCTTACCAATAATGTAAAATGGGAAGATCGCTATACTGAAATACATATGGCTTCCGGCGAAGAGGCACCAGTGTGAAGAAATGGGAAAAACAAAACAAAACAAACAAAACAATCCCCCCCAACACAAAACAGCACCTGGGCCAATTAACCAAACCTCCTCCCAATTTCTTCTGAATACAGCACAATGATCTTTGCCCCGTCCCCTATACATTTTAAAGGAATTGTTATAGGATATCAAATTATTTTAAATGTGTTTTCCTACTACATAAACCTTAACCTGGACTTTCTACTTAAGGGGGAAAAAAAGGAATGTGAATGTAAAACACCTGTCCAGTGTGTGTGTGTGTGTGTGTGTGTGTGTGTGTGCACGTGCAACTTTGGAGCGATTCAATAAACAAGTAAGCTCTGTTTAATCTATTTAGTAAATGCAAGACTTCTCTATCTCCCCCCTCGGCTACCTATATAAAAGACAAGACTGAAAAGGGCAGCCACTCCTGGAGCCAGCGGCTGGGGCAACAGTTGGGTTCAGACGGGTTTAATTGGCGTGTGAAAAGGCAAAACGTTAGCGCTCCTACCAGGCTTCATAAATCTCTTTCTGGGGGCATCTCGGCTGAAGGCCCTGGGGCAAAGCGCGGGGTCCCTTGCATTCCAGCCACTCTCAATTAATTTCTCCTCCCTCACCGGCCCCTCCCCTAGAAATCCAGTCCCAAATCCGAAGCAGCTCGCCCTTCCCCCGCTTTGCGAAGGGCTCTAGGCCGACTTTTCAATGGTAAGGGCCAGGTTGTAATAGGAAGGTTCTTCTGACGCTCTCTGACGCTCTGACGGGGTAGGTGGGGGAACGCCCTCCCCAGCCACACGCACACAAACAGGAGATGCAGTCCTCAAGGAAACTGATGCGCAGCAGCAGTTCGGTGGCGTGGAGGTGCCAGGAAGCTGGGCGTCTTCCTCCCCCCATCCCCCCGCCACTTCTGGGGTTCCCTCAGGGCCTCACAGCACAGTCTGCGAAGAGTTTGCTGAGGTTCACTTCTGAGTAGCCACTTCGGGACAGGAACTGCTCTGCTGTGTTCCTGAGTTTCTGGTAGTCCTGACGAACTTTTAAGGTAAAAACCTTCTTCAACTTATCTAAAAAGAAATAAAAATAAAAGGTTTACAAGTCTCACAGGCTGCACCTTTAAAGACCATTCAGCATTTATTTGCCAAGCACTAGAGAAGAGGGTGCGGGTTCTCTCTGCAGTTCCATGTCTCGGATATCCTCACGGTCCTGTTGCTGGTCTACACCCAGGGCCAATCCCACGCCCGGGGGTGGGGGGGGGCAGGTGGGACCCCTGCGGTCCTCTGTGGACGCCTTTCCTCCTTTACCCTGCCCGCCACTTCTCACCACCTAGCTGACTAGGGCACCGAGGGACGGGCAGGGCCACGCTCCACCGATGCGAGCTGCAGGTGGCAGGCCTGTGTGCAGCAGCCAAGGTGAACTCCACCTGCAGCCACCACTCTCGCAGCGCTGTCGAGCATCTGCATGCAACTGCCTGCAAAGTATGGATGTGGCGGGAAATACTTTGTCTCAAGGGAAGCCAGAGCCTCTCAGCGCAAACTCCCTGGAGCAGCTGGGCCCAGTTGGCTTTCAGGCCCTCCGAGCTGTGTCCCTCTGCCGTACAAAACTCCTCTGCTCAAAGAACTCAGTGAGGGGTAGGCTGTCTGGAGAGCACCTGTCCGTTGGTGAGATTTCCTCGTCGTCGTCCACACTGTATGCCGGTGAACTCTGGGTATGACGCAGCCATTCCTGTGTTTCCTGCTGCTTCCACCCATTCCTCTCCAGCCTTCCCATTCTGCAAGGGGCACTACAGCCTGACGGCAGATCCTTCCTTTCCCTCCCCAGAGCCTGCTACCTCTACACTTGGTTTGTTTAGAGGAGCAGTAGGGCCGAGACGCCGAGGTCTGATCTTTGGACGGTCAGGGTGATCCCTAGAGGAGGCACCCTTGCCCAGGACGCTGAAGACAACACAGTTTTGGTTCAAAGCTGCTCAGGAACCCTGTCAGGTGTTTGGAGAGGCCGACTGCAATTTTTTTAAATCCCCGTTTGGTGGCTGAGGAAAGTGGGAGGTTAAGTCACTCACCCGAGGTGATACAGCTGGAAATCCGGGATCAAGAAGCGCAAGCCCAGGTATCCAGAACCCCGAGTCCACACTTGGGAGGACAGGCTCACTTGTGCACCCCCCTCACCCCACCCTGTGGTTAGGGCTCCCAGATGCGCAGGCCCCAGATGCCGGCCTGTGCCGAGCCAGGCTGCCCAGAGCCCCGGAATAGGAAAGCATCGGGAAGCAAACACGGAAGGGAGTGCACATCAAGCACAAAAAGGAAATCCCCACTGAAACAGAGCGACACTGAAGCCTACGAAACACCCGGAAAACTAAAGCTGGTTTTCAAGATTTTTGTTCCTTAGCTACACATTCCCATTTGTTCTCCACAACCTTTTCTAAATTACATCAATTGCCTTTCAATAAAACAACAACAAAAAGTTTTGTGGAGAGGATTTAAATGCTGAAGGGGGGGTGGAAAAAGAGAGGCGAGGAGAGAGGGGGAGAGGGAGGGGGAGGGGAGAGAGAGAGAGAGATATTGAGGCAAGCAGGCAGGCATCGGTAGCGGACTATAGAAAGACACTTTGAAAGTTCTAATTATCCGAGTCTGGGAATACACAACAATGGCCCTGAGCAGTGGCGGCCGCCTCCCGGCAGGCCAGAGCAGCAGGCCGGCACCCCGTGCGTGTGAATGACACAAGCGCAGGTGCTGACTGGGGAGCACATTTCAAGAGCTGCCGGAATAAGGAGCAGGGGAGGAAGGGAGAGGGCATCGCTCCTGATGTGTTTACCTCCTCTGCTGATGGGATATTGACTTTTCCCACCAGGTTGGTTAGAAAGGGGACTATTTACGCTGCCACACAGCAGAGCTAGAATGACAACCAGCGTCACTCGGTGCTGCTTCTTCGTAAAAGACAAGTGTGACCGCCGGCATATCCCATAGCCGGTCAATACAGCCAAGGCACCATTCCACGCCAGTTAGACATGCAGATAAAAGCTCCCACTTGTTTCCTCAATGAGAATTTAATCAATAACGTATGGAAGGTCTTCTGGGAAACAGAACTGCAGGAGCAGGCACAGGCGTGTCAGAGGGGGAGCTGTGGGGGGACAAGGGCTCACCCCTTCTTTGGGGTTTTCCTTGGCCCCCATCAGGCAGGCACCTCGGCCCTCCACATTAGGCTTCACAAGAAATCCTGCTTCCTTGACTGCTACACCCACCACCGCAGAACTCAAGGGAAAAAACCAGTGGTAAATGGTGGAAACCAGTTAATGTGGCCAGTAACAGCTGATTCCTTCTCCCAGCTCTGGTTTTGGGAGTTGGTAAAGAGGCCACTGGCATTGGCACTGCAGGTCAGGCACCCGGTGACAACTGTGCAGAGGTTCCAAGAGGCTGTTAGGCAAGGGGCAGAGAAGACCAGCCCAGCCCAGTCCACGGAGATGCCAGGGGCCGGGGCCTTGGCTGTCTCAAGGACCAGTGTGCAGAATCCCAACTTCGTCAACTGGCGAAGGAGATGCTCTGTCTACACACAAGTGCATCAAGCCAACTAGACTGCAGTGGACTGAACTATGAGCGGAAATCACGGATCTTAATACACCAGCGAAGCGAATCTGGGAATAACCTCCAGGGAACACTTATCTATAGCTTAGTGGTGCTTTCCACATGCTGACTCCTTAGAGTTATATACTGGTTGGCAAGAATATCCTGTCCCTAGCCTTTATGAAAACAGCGAAAAACAAGGTAGCCTAGAAATTAGTCACACAGTATTTTATCAAACACTAACATGAACCGCTAATCTAAAAGGTGGTTTCTACTGATTACAAATAAAAAACCTCAACGCGAGGCTGGCAAGCCACAGTGTTTTCTATATGAGATGAACTAGACCATCACCTGTAGGTTGAACTTGTCTTAAACATTTTATTTAAAAGTTAATGGATCCCACTGAGGGCGACACTTGATGGGATGAGCACAGGGTGATATGCTGTATGTTGGTAAACTGAACTCCAATAAAAAATAATAATTAAAAACAAAGTTAACGGATCCAATCAGACATTAGAACTGCTGGATAAAATGGGAGTATTCTCCCGTCTAAGGAAAGCATCTCTACTTCAGAGATTTTATTTCCATATCAGTAAACCAAAAATCTCTTTCAGCTGCGCTCTTTGTAAAACCCCTTTTGGACTTCAGGAAACACACTCAACTAGAAACCAGGAGGCAAAGACATTTTAACATCGCCTACTGGTTATTTTATTTTAATTAAGGCAGGCTTAGGCACACAGGCAGCAGCCGTCTCTGTTCTGAATGTCTGTTTCATTTATTTCCGTGCAAAGGTATCAAACAACAGTCAGTTATAATTGATTCTGTCAGGTGTTATACAGTCAGTCATAATTGTCTCTGTGTAGAGGTGTGTCAATTTACTATATCTGAATTAAATATTCTGTCAATTATGAAATCAGGTAATAATTTCAGTCAGTTTTTTAATTGCATGGCTTCCCACCATACAGTTCTCTGCTTTCCCACCATACAGTTCTCTGCTTTCCCACCGTTTCTAATCCATAGCCTCCCTCTCTCAATGCATCGTGAGCTTTGCCTTAAAGGGTGGAATGCCGGAAGCTTTAGGAATTCTGAAAGAAAGGCACTTTATGATTTAAAACCACCCAAACTATAGAGAACTGCTGGAGCCTCTGGCCAGGCCGGCTCTGTCCTGAATATCAATCAATAACTGGGTCTGGACAATGCACAGTATCTGAAAGATCTTAAGAGATACCCATGTTTCAAAGACAAATGCATTGGGGCCCCACTCAAATAACGAGGAAACACTTTTCAAAATAAGAAATAAAAAAACATCATCTTCCACTCAGTTCTTTAGAAACAAATTCACAAGGCACAGTGCCAGGCACACTCCGCATACAAGGCATTTACTGACTGAACAACGCATACAGGTCAAATTCTTGCCCGTGAAATCACATGTTAGATGCTACTGGATTTCTAAGGTCCGAAGAATCTGTTACTCCACTACTCAGCTCCATTCCTACTTATAAATAATTATCTCCAGTTTTTTTTTTGTTGATACCAAAATACAGCCTTCAAACAGAATAAAATATCCTGTTTATTTAGCTCAAGAACTCTACTACGCTGATGTGACAAGTATTTAGAAGCGTGATTATAATTCTCTCCGCCACTGGTCTGGTTCCTGTTCAAGAACCACAGGCCTGCTGCAGCCTGGTGGTGGTGCCGCAGGGCCCCCCCACCAGGAAGGGCTGGTCAGTGCAAGTGTGGGAAAGAGCAGAGGGTGATGGGAGAAGGGAGGAGACAAGAGCAAGCTGATGTAAAGAATGCCACTTCTACAGCAAAAAATAGAAGGGGAGAGTCGCGCCCCTTACCATGTTTCAGTGGAGAGAGAGTCACCTTGAAAGAGATCAAAAATTTCCTTTCAACTGGATGAAGTGATTCTATCAGGGCTGGGTTTGGGGTGTTTGTATTTGTCATGTCGGAAGAAAATTGCCCATGCAGCCCCCTTGCTGAGGTTATAAAAAGTACTGTCAACCACACTGGACAGAATTTTTTTTGGGGGGGTGCAGAGAGGGAAAAAAAACACATTGTGCAGGATCATTAAGCACTGTTGTATAAATAAAGTTAGAAGATCAAACGAAAGAGGGGACTCGGGTTAAATGCTGGAAGACAAGCTTAAATAAAGTTCTAAGAAAAAAGCAAGGCACGCTGTAATTCCAAGAACCTATTACTTCAGACAATTTACTTCAAAAAATAAAATCAGAATGGTAAATGATTACCCAAAAGCAATCATGTCATCATCACTGAGAGATGGAATAAAATAATTTTTTGTGAAGTGGCTGAATGAGAGCAACTTAAAAGCCACGGAGCCTGTCAGAAGCACATTATTTCTTTTTACACCCCGTTTCCCAATTCATCTCAGTGCTGCTGACTAACCTCGGCTCCCAGCAGGTGGAGCATTTAAAATAAATAGCATTTCCTACAAAACGCGCTCCAACTGCCCCATGACAGACGCTTCCAATTCCCGGCCAGCCACT